TATTTGCAGCGTTAGTTGTTGGCGTTAATCCAGCCCCAACAAACTGGTCTGCGTTTGTACCGCCCAGAGGAGGGGAGGCCCTCGCTAGTCCGAGGTTGAGCGTATTTCACAGGTTCTAAACGAGGGGATAAAAACAGCCTTGGCTTTGGATCACGGTGTTCCTGAAAGGCTTGGTGGCCTGAAGCAAATGGCACCTGAATCCTCAAGCCCTGCTCTGCAGGCCCTGGCCACACCTGGCCACACCTGTGCACACCACCCCCACCCGGTGGGACACCACCAGTTCCAGCAGGATCAGAAGATCCCAGCGCATGCCCTGGCCAATCAATGACCAAGTTCATTTCCCCTGCTATGTCCGACCCCGGCCAAGCAATACACTTCCCACTACCAGGGACGAGGCTGGCACTGCTCCCACACAGGCACGCCCAGGCCCATGTGATGGCCAGGCCTCACCTGAGCTCTTCCACCCCAGGCCAAGCAGGCCCATAGTCAGTTCTCACAGGTGGAAAGATACCTCAGGAGCCTCAGGTGGCCGTCACAGGCTTTTACTGTCGAATCAGGGGACAGCCTAAGCCGGGAGACAGCAACTTGAGCCCCCCCCCCTGCAGTCCCGGACCCCTCACACAGCTCTCCCAGGCACGCGCGATGCCCGAGCTCTCCGGGCCCAGGCGTCTGTAACTGCTGACTTGGTGAGTGTGAACACTATCGCCATAACCCACGAAAGCGACACCAACTGTGACTAGGGCAGGACACACCCAGAGGCAGGCCCGCGAGAGGGTGGGAGATCCACGTGTCTCTCCGAGGCCTGCCCAGGCCAGGCGCCTTTCCTGCCCTCTCGTCTGGCGTCCGCAGCAGGCACGGCGCACGCCCACTGCCGGCCCTCCCCGGGGAAGGCTGACTGGTCAGAGGGAACGTGAACCATCAGCTACGAAGTGCGCGCCCAGCCCCTGGCCCAGGCGGCCCCAGCCCGCCCCCGAAGGCGCCGCTGTGTGCCTGGGGATCCACTTTATTTCACCCACGGCAGCCTGCAGCCACTCACCGAGAGCCACCGGCTTCCTCACTGGCCACCGGGTGAGGTGGAGCTGTGGGCAGCAGGCACACGCCCGCTTCCTCCGCTCTGCTTCTGTGCCGGAGTCTCCTCATGGCCTCCGCGAGTGTTGGCCACTCGCGGGGATGGCAGCTCAGAGGTGGACGCAAGGCCGGGCCGCACACCACTGCCTTCGCCACGCAAAGCCGGAGGCGGAATTCTCTGTGGCTTGCAGCCTCCGGCCGGGGAGTGCGACCTGCTCTGATGGGCTCAGGGACCGGCCTCACATCCGCTTTATCCTCCTTCGGGCATAATGGCCGAGCCCTGGGGGCACTCACTGCTGCCACCTCGACACTGCGGTCTCCGAGCCACCAGTGTAACAAGCAGACCCCTGAAACTCCCTGGTTGCCATTAAGAGTCACTCTGGGCCCTCCCTGGTGGCGCAGCGGGTTAAAGCACAGCACTGAGAAACTAAAGCCACTTCTGCATGAGTTTGATCCCCGCCTGCCCCGGAGGTGACCACATGGCGCGGCAGACCTCTCCTGACCCGCCCGCTGTTCCCCTCAGCAGTGTACTTCCATGATCTGCCTGTTCTGCTTCCCGCTCTGTCTCTGGTGAATCCTCTCACCCTCCGCATCTCTGGCCTGTACCCCAGTTCTGTATGAACAAATAAATAAATCTTTTTTTAAAAAAAAAGTCACTCTGGCCGCGTCCAGTAAGGCCAACAGCCTTCGCATGTTGGCGGGGACCAGTGGAGGGCTAGCTCCGCGTGGCCTCGGCCCTGCGCCCCCGTGGACAGGCTCCTCAGCCCTCAACCTATCCAAAAGGAACAGGCCGCCCCCAGGACCAGGGGCGGCACTAAAAGGCCCCCCCAGGCGCAGGGCATGGGGATGGAGCCCCCAGCCCTCCCCTCACAGCAGCACGTCTCCTCACAGGCCCCCGCCTCTGGGCCTCTCCGTCTCCCCACGACTCCGACAGACGTGCCCAGGCCGCGCGTGCCTTCTAGCACGAGGTACACTGTTCTCAGCAAAGCCCCCGCATCTGGGCGAGGATGGCTTTCCCAGACCCTCTGACATGACCGGCCTTGCTGGCCCCCTGGCGTTCAGCTGTCCAACAACTACCCTTACTCCTTTCGGGGTGCACCGGTTCTCGACGTGGCCCCCGCTGGCTGCCACTGTGGTGACAGCACGCGTTTGGCGTCCCACACAGAGCGCCAGAATTGCCATAAGGCCCCAAATGAGGATGCGGGTCCTTCTCCGCACCAAATCCCTCTCCTCTGGGCACAGGTGTGGCATTTACACAAGGGCAACTGTGCTCTTGAGGTTCATAATCAGAGGTGCACACGCCCCGTGGCCACGCCCCAGCAGCCAAAGCTCACTAACGCCGCTTGCAGAGCTGTGAGGGGAAACTCACCCCAGCCTTGCCATGTCTGTCCCACACCCCCACACACTGTGTGCCGATCCCCCACACGCATCTACTTGAGGTCATTTCTGGAGGTGCCGAGCGCGATGTCCTCCTGGCCCGCCCCCCCCCACAATCCCTCCCGAGGTCTTCAGAGGGCTCCATACCTGTGTCGAATCATCCTGCTGACTCGTGCCAACGGTGCCCACGAGCCCTGGGCAGACTCACTGTCCATTCAGGCAGACATGGACAGTCCTGGGGCACTCCGCAGATGCTACAGGCTTTAGAGCTCTGGGGGAAGCAGGACAGGCCCGGCGGGGAGGCCGGCAGGAGGGAGGCAGGCATGGGCTGGGCAGAGGGGCCTGCAGCCAGGCAGACTACTGAGCTTCCCGGCCCTCCGCGCATCTCTGTGCTTTCTCTGGCCTCTCTTCGGGGTTCTGTTTCGTGGCCTGACCCCGGAGTGGTCCCCCTCATGGCGCTGCCGCCTCTGTTCCTCACCCCTCGGCACGGGTGTCCCCGCTGTCGTCTGCGCATGCCCCGTGCCCTCTGGGCCCAGGTGTCTAGAATTACAGGTGCACGTGCAAGACCGCAGGTGCCGGGCATAGATGCTAATGGAGGGTAGGCGTAACAGGCCTGACGTGGGGCTTCTTTAGCCTAATATCCCAGCCTCCTCCAGGCCCCGCCACACGGCCCCTTGGTGCACGGCAGCACGGAACCCGGTGCTTGGAAACCTGGAGCCCCACCACTGCAAGGCATGAAGAGTCATGGACTCTTCGGAAAGGGGCTACGTGAGCGCCTTCCAATTTCAGGGCTCGCAGCTATGGACCGGGGCCCCTTTCACAGGTGGAGGGATCAAGCACAGGAGCACGTGACCCAGGACTAGGCGCCAGATGCTCACAGCACCCTGGGAGGACCGGCCTGCCGAGCGGACCTTCCCTCGAGGAATCTGACCGTGTGATTTCTTGAAAAAAGATGCTGCCACGGGTCTTCGTGGCTAAATTGAATTTTTCCACCCTGAAATGGACCAAGGTGCTTATGTGCGAAGACTTCTTGTGGAGGGGGATGAGCTGACAGAAACCCACAGGGAGGGTCCTCACTCACTCCCTGGGTGGGCACAGGCAGAGGCGGTGGCAGGCTGAGACCCACTTCTTCACCCAACACCTACAGCTGGCATCAAGCCATTGTGTCCCCAAACCACTGCAGGGTCTGCGGAGCCCCGGGAGCAGCAGCAGAGCACAAAACCTGGGGTTTGGAGGGACACATCACACGTGAGCTGAGGGTCTTGGACGAGCCACTCAGCTGTCCTGTGAATATGGCGATGATCTTGACCAGCCACGAGTTTTCGCCCCCAGTGAGGGGAGCCGAGCGTTTGGTGTCACATCTGGTTGGGGTCTGTGACTGGCCTGGACTGAGCTGTGGCATCGTTCACCAAGCCCGGGGAGGGGGAAGATTTCAAAAGCTCATTCAAAGCTAGAAAGCGAAAGGGAAGGGCGTCTCTGAGGGAGCGCCAGCCAGGGCAGGCACACGGAGGCGAGACACAAGCACGGGGAGCCGGCGGGGCCAGACCTGGGTCCTTGACGCTGGGACGTGAGGGCAACGGAAGCCACCCACGTTCTGGTCGGAGGGCCCCCGGCCAACACCTTGTTGCTGTCAGGTGAGGGAAGATTCGGGCATAGGAAGTGAGGCTTGAGAAAACTGAAGGAGACTGAAGACGAGAAAGGAGCCCGAGGACAGGGAAGGAAGGAAAGGGACCAGTGTCTAGGCTCCCCAAGAGGCCAGAGCAGAGGGACAAGGGACGAGACGAGCAGAAAGACCAGACGAAATGTCAGAGAAGGGAATGCGGGGGCAAGCGAGGGGTCGGCAAGCAGATGGGAAGAGTGGGGACAGAACAGAGGGGAGGCTGGTCACGGCAAGATGCTCCAGGCAGTGTCTACACCCGAGGCCCTGCCTGGCCGACGCTGGCTTGGAGGCGCTGAGTCTGCAGGTATGGGCAGTGAGGCAGGAGGGCAGAGGGAGCTGAGGGGTCAGCGTCACACCCTGTCACCACGACCCTGGGTGGGTCCTGAGCCCACGTGCCAGCGGGGCCAAGTCCTACCCTGTTCATTCCTCATGGACGTCACAGAGTTCAGGGTAATTACACGTGAAGGCCAGGGTCTTTCCTGCAGTGGGAACAGGAGCCCCTTGGGGGTGGCCCCGGGATATCACCGTGGTCACCAAGCATGAGCCAGGGGCAGGCGGCGGGCCGCGACCCTGACACGTGAATGGTTCTTCTCTGGACACCTGAGTGGGCCCGGCAGAGAGTTCACAAGCTACCTGAGGCCTTGCCCCTCCCAAGACCCCAGCTGTCCCACTCGGGAGCTCAGGACCTGGGCTTTGAGGAGCCATGCAAAATGTGGAGTCCCATCTCGTGAGACCTGCGAGTCCTCTAGGTCTGGCAGGACAGCAAGCAGATAAGGGCCGGTGTGACTGCACCCCAAGGTGCCCAGGAACCCCCAACTTCCCCAGGAGCAAAATGCAGGTGCCCAAATACTCTCACACCTAGGGCACCAAGGAACAACACAAACCAGGGGAGAACACTGAGGGGCACGGCCTGGGGTAACCTTTGCTCCCAGCACGTGGGGCCACATGACAAGAGTCAGCCCGGCGGGGGCACCACAAGCTTTATTGGCGGCAGCTCTCCCAGGAGCCTGGTCTGCTGGGACTGGGTGTTCCGGCATGGGCGCCCCCGGGCCTGAGCTGGGAAGAGGAGGAGAGAGAGAAGTTTAGGTTCGAATGAAGGTTTCTGAAGTACGGCCGCCGGCGTTAGAGGCGAGGCTGTTACTCCAAAACCACTCTCAGAGGGGAACAGTCTGCCGCAGACCTTTACAGACCCAGAGGATGATGAGATCGTGTGTCCACACCCACTCAGGAAATACCCTGAGGTGCCTCCTCTGTGCAGGCACGTTTGCTGGGTTCCTCACTCGTCAACACGGCACATGAATTCCGCATGAGCACCCCACAACGGACAGCAAGGCGCGGAAGTGGGCTGTCAGCACAGCTGCGGAAGGGCACGTGGCTGGTTTCACTGCCAACCTCGCTTTTCCAGAGTCGTCTGTGACCCACCCGCACACCCCCCAAAGGGCTTTCAGTGAGAGAAACTTAGGGGGCCTCACCTCCAGGTTTCCTCTGGCCTTGCGGAGGATCTTGTGGGTTACAACCACTGAGGAGAGAGTGATTACGCTGATTAGACAGATGCCCAGAAGTCAGGGTGCCCCAAGTGAGGGAGGAGAAGCCACAAAGGGCCCCGCACGTGAACAACCTGACGCACCTGGTCAGAGGGAGGTAGGACGGCCCCACCGGCCCAGGACCAGAGGGCCCACTGGAAGGGGAAGGGCTTCCTCCTCTGGGCTGGCCACAGCTGACAGCCACACCAGGAGGTGGGACAGACACCAAGCCATGCCCTGCAGGACCTGCCGATGCCCAGGCATGCGCAAGGCTCCCCGCTCTGGGCTGGGAGTGTGTGGTGCAGGCCGATGAGGGGAGTCTGGGCCGATGAAAGCTGTAGACTGGCTTGCCCCAGGCCCTCAGGAGAAGTGGTCCTGGGGAGGGGGCACCACTCCAAGGACAACCACGTGAGGCCAGGATCTGGGTGGGCAGTTCTCACAGCAGCTCCTAACAGCTCGGAAGTGCCGGGCACTTTTTCCCCTTTGTGCCTTTGGCTGATGGAAGAACCCGATGTGGTTCTCTGGGCAAGCCCTGGTCCACCAGGACAGGAGGTGACGGGGGGCACACCGAGGCCCCGGCAGCCTGGCGCCGAGCAGTGCGGGTCTGACAGCCCAGGGAGCTCTCGGTGTAAAGGAAGGTCTCCCCTCGACCTTTCTTTTCTGACTTAAACTCCTGGAACTGGGCCTTGGTCCAGGGGTGCCCAAGGCTGGAAAAGACCCCATCAATACACACAGCTCATCCAGAAAGGCCGCCAAGTGGTGACCCTGAGAAAATGCTGATTTCTTGCCTCATAGAAGTTCCCACCGGAGGTAAGGAAGTCTCCCCATTACCTGTCTGAGGGGCTGCCACAGACCCCCAAAGTGGCCCCTCGCACCTTCCTGGCCCTTGACACAGCCAGAGAGACCTCCTAACACACAATGGACATGTCCCTCCCTGCTGCCCACTCTTGCCCTTGTGACCTGTCTGCATGTCCCTGTCACTTTCTTCTCACAACACGTCCTAAGTTACCCTGAACGCTGTTCCTGCCCTCAAGGCCACTGGCAGAACCTGATTCTGCTCTTATCTCCTCCTCCAGACCTAGTCAGCCCAGTGCCTGAACAACCTCTCAGGCTGCCTGGCATAAACAGTGCATCATCCTGCAGCTAATTTTTGCATCTCCCCACTAGGGAGATGTTCACACTGGCGAGGACGGGCTTGTTGACCTCTGTCAGCCGAGCCTGGCAGGGTGCACGGAGGGACGGGCAGGGAGCCCAGGGCTTGTCCAGACACTGAGCAGCTCTCCCTAACAGTTCCAGCCCTCCTAGTCCCACAGAGCCTGTTTTCAGAACGTTCCCAGGGTACTGAGGAGAACTTCTACTTGACAATAATCTTTGTTGTGTGCGTCTCAGAAATGCCCCAGAAATGTTGGGCTTTGATAAGAGAACAGCACAGGCGGACAGGCCCTCCACAGCGAACGCGCTGCCGTCAGCACTTCTAGGGAAGGGAAGCTGACAGGTGCATGGCGCGAGGCCGGTGCTGCCGAGAGGCCCCGGGAGGTGGGACGCCAAACGTGCAGGGGGGCGCTGAGAGCAGGGGCTGCAGCAGCGCACCCCTGTGGGCTCCCACGCTCCAGGCTCAGGGAGGGACTCACCTTCCAGAAGTTATTCAACCTCCCCAACAGAGGTTCTCTATTTGTCTTGGGAAGCATTCTCAGAGCCACCCCCGACTCGAGAACCCCGTTGCCTGGCCAAGGCCCTCCTCGGGGCCTGCCTGGCCCAGGCACTCTGCCCCTCGCCGCTGTGGGGTAGCCCAGCCCGCGTCCCGCCGCCTGCGGCTGCATGGCCTCGAGAACCACGGGCCTCCTCACACACAGCCCGTTGTCTTGCTCGGCCTTTGCCCACACACTGCCCCACCCATCAATGCTCCTCCTTGTAGACTCAGCCCAGGTGACTCCCCAGGAAGTCACCCGCATGTGCCCCTGTCACTGCGCACGACAGGCCCCGTCTCCCCCACTGAGTGGCCCCGCCACCGAGGTCTGTTACGTGTCTGTCAGGTCAGAGAGGATGAGGAACGGAAGGAAACCCATAAGTGAGGGGCCAACGCGACAAAGCCTGGGTGCAGGCCAGGGTTGGAGGCTCAGTCCAGGGGCGGCTGCACCAGCTACTCACGCTGATCGAAGATGACTTTTTCCTGGTGCTTGCTCAGATGCAAGAGCCTCACAGTGTTCTGCAACTTCTCTTCCTGTTCACACAATTTTTTGTGCAGCTTGGTGATTTCTGCCTTCATTTCCCCAGTCTAAACAAAGGAATCAGAACAATGAACACAGAATATACAAGATCCTGTCACACAGGAAAAATCCCAAAAGCTTCGGAAAAGATGCTCCATCTTAGCGACACAGGTACCCGAGTAAAACCCACAAGCCATTTTCTGTGACCAGACCGGCGACCCTGCAAGGCCAGTGATGTGCAGCGTGGGGCGGGGCAGCCTGGGAGCAGAGCTCAGCCCGCGCCGCTGCCCCGCCTCCCGCACATGGCCCCTGCAGCCCGCAGCCCCTCGGCATCAGCCCCGGGATGACGCCCGTGCTCACCACTGCTCGACTCGGCATCATGTACATACAGCAGGAAAAATAAACCGCCTGAGCTGTTTCAGCAGGGCTCTGATAAGCCTTGGCACTCACATCAGTGGGGTGGTTCTGCAGCTGGTAAAACTGCAGAACTCTATTCACCCACACGCAGGCAGGCTCACGCCTGAGACAAGGAGGCCGGGGTCAGGCACGCCTGTGTCTCGGCAGGTCTGCTCCCACAGACGCGCACACAGGTGGCGAGGAAGGTGACGAGACGCTTCAAAACGTTAACAGTGGTTACCTCTGAGAAATGTCATTTGGAAGGTTTTATATTTCAAAGGTATCAAAACTGCAATTATTTTGCAAAATGACAGTGTTGACTTCTAAAATAATCAATGCC